CACGTAACATGTGCCACAGTTACACCTTCCGGTTTTTATGGAATTGGAGTCTATACTGAGCATCAAAAAGGAAAATAATATCGGTTTCAACTATTATATTTAACGCATTAGTTACCATTTGAAAAATTGGACTGAACATTCTATAACAGTAAATACCCGAATAACCAGTATTGTTCCTCTGCTTTCAGGGTACTGATCCTAATCTCCACCAGTTTTTTCGCCCAGTTGCCCTAATCCTTCGAGCGAATGCCGACACGGCCCGTTGTTTTGCTTCTGGACATACATTTTGCTTCACTACCTGTGCACGTTTTATTGAGTATTGTAGCGAATGTAGATATTCAAATAATCGTTTTCCATTTTCTCGCTGCAGTAAGTCGATTCCTTTTAATCGAACAAAAACCTGAATCTGTACCTGATTTGCTTTTGCAGATAGTTTCTTTCATATACGAGCGAATATTTCCTTACTCATTCTTGCCAATAACGCTCGTTGCTTCATGTATTCATAATAATTCACCTTAAGTAACACTACTAGTATTTGAGTTAGGATAGAGATCCCAGAGCTCTCGTAGGTCACACATTTTTTATCTTTTTTTAACGTTAAACAAATAAATACTGAACTTATAACAAATGACGCCATCTGAATGAGATTTGGTCTGTTACTATAAGGGTTGCAAAACAAAAAGGTTTAAAATAAACGACCCAGTTAGTATTTTTGGGTTTGAATATTTTTTTGAAATACAGTTTATATAAAAATATTTACTAATTTTTATCATTTGAACAGTCAAATGATTAATTTAAGACCACCTTTATATTATATACTATACTGTGCGTCTAAGGATTTCCCCTTCCTCCGGTTTTAAGATTTCAAACGCGTAACAAATGCACGACATGTAGCAAAGTTGTAAAACAAGTTTGCATCTTACTGGAAGTTTATTTTGTATTTGTGTTGCCTTTGTATGCGTTTGTGTTTCTTGTGATGAAATAGAACTAGTGAATACTAGCCAATGAAGTTTATATTATATTGTCACATTACTTTATTTTGTGTTGTTTTTTGTTTTTTGGTACGAGTTGCTCCATTACATTTGAGTTTTTAATGGACATTTCGATAAATAAAAAGTTTCACTATTTTATTTGAAATAATTAAAAAATAAAACATTTAAATGAATTATTACTTTTTTTTCAAGAGTATTTTCCGAGCTTGTATTAAAAAACGAGTGCGTCTCTTTGGATTGGCGAAAATTTAACCTGGTCACTAGGCTAGAGTTCATTGGGCGACTGAAAGTAAATCCCGAGAGAATATGAACGAGGAGCTTCTCGGGATTAAATGACGAACGATTTATTAACGTAGTTTCGTAATCATCATTAGATTGAGGTCGCGCTTATTCCAAAATCCAAATGGCCAATACTGCCACAGAGCTGAAGTACGAAAATCCCACTGTCGCATTACAGATCCCGCAATTCAGTTTGTCATTAAATCCCGAGAATCTCATTCGTATGCAAAATACTCGCAAAAACCATGTACGGAATCGATTACTCGACTTTCATTGTTACCAATTGCATCGTACTAGCTGGGCTTGCATACCAGTTTTATTTCAGATACGACCGCTACCAGGCTCACATTGTCACCGGTGCAAGTGAGAAGATTGATACAGCGCTAGCATTCTCATTCCTGATTAAGTCATTTAAATTACATGACACTGAAACCATCATTATATCATAATTCGAAGATATTCAAGAATTTTTAACGATAGACTTTCATACAACGTAAAACCGTATTGCACAACAATAATGAAAGCACCTAATTCTTGAAACGATTGAAACATACAATGAATACGAGTATGCGATTAATCGAAGTTTCCTTCACTAATATTTTATGTTGTTATGCGGGTATCCTTTACGATTCCTCCTTTCATAGAATATCACAAATTGTGGAATGCTGCAAACGCAAAATACTTGTATCTCCCTTTTCAGAAGTATTTTCGTTAATTAGTCAAGAAACACAGTGGTCAGAAACGGGGCCTCGATTTTTGTCAAGTTTCACCATTTCAACCAAACATACGCTTTGTGTAGTAACCAAGTTTAGTCGTGTAGTTTTGTTAGTAAAAGTAATTTAGTCCTCAATTTCTTTTACTATTCTAAGCAGCATAATGAATATTTGCTACCGCAACATTTTATTTTTCTGGAATGCGGAATAGGACTTACTGCGGAATAAAACTTACTAGAGCACACACAAGTGCATAATAGTGTTAAATTACCCATTCAACCAGTGTGTACAGTGTGTAACTAGAGAAAATGTTCAGCCCTAATGCACGTGCCGCTTGTTGGAATGTCATGATTATCTTCTAAGAATATTCAATAATGGCATTCGATTCATCCGGGCAATTCTTAACTCTTATCTTCCGTCGCTTTTAATTTATAATAAAAAAAATTAAATACGTGTGGCACTAAAATATATGAAGCAAATAAAGGCATAGAAAAATGCAATTGTATCGATTTCCTTTACGGACGCTTAGAATTTCCATTCATCAAATACGATCTTTCAATGAAATGTTTTTATTGTGTACTAAATGCACAAACTAAAAATTAAGTGACGAAAATTTTATTTGTTAATCGTTCTGAAAAATTGTAGTTCTACATTATTACTTACTAAGTTCTGAGCGCGGAAATTTGCTGATATCAATAATCGCCTCTTCGGCTATTTAATTTAGGCCTTTCGGCATCCCGCAAAAACGGCGTTTCTGTGAGATACAGAGCACAGAAACAGCACGAAAATATCTACTTTCAATCAAACTATCAACAAAACGAAAAGCTGCGATCGTGCTTTCAGGCCGTGACTCTGAAGCTGATTTCGTGATTCAAAGTTGCTAAAGGGAAAGCAGTTTTCGTAACACAAGGCCGAAGTGCAACTTGGCCCTAGGTCTGCAAAATCCCCCCCAAGAACGCTTACGCCAATCCTTTATTGAAGACCTATACAGCAACAAACAAACACCTTCTCTTCCTGGCACGGAAGCGGCCTTTAAATCCCACGTTAAAAAGCCCACTGACTACTTTTGATGCATTGGCCACGGACGTGCTACACAAACAATTTAGCGTGAGATGCACACCAGCGTAGATCACAAGCACCGCCACGAATCCAAAACAGCAAATCAATGATTAGCAGAAGCGCCATGCAAACACTGCTCCAATGAACTGTTTGGCGATCAACACGAGTTCGTGAATAAACGTGGAAGAAAAATCAGTGATCAATATCTGGAAGTTCTCCAGTACGTATGTCAAAGGCTCAAATTCACGAATGTAATAAAAAGGCGGTAAAAAAAGTTTTTATTGATTTATGCAAGTGTGTGGGTGTGTGCAATTTAGTGCAACATTTCTCTAAAAAAATACTCCTGAATTGATATCCACAAGGTGAAATAATGAGACAAACATTAACATAATTCGATATGTAAACAAAACCTGAACCGGTGTCAAAACAATCTCAATAAACTTTTCCAACTTACGACAATCTTTAAATATTCTACATGCAGACATATTTTAGCTTTCACTTTATTTTCCAAAAGTACGGCAAGAATATTAACTTTCAAAAATTCACGAAATATTGGAAATTACGAAATCTGAGGCGGGTACGGTTAGCCATAATTAATACAATGCAATTGACTTACAATAAAGATGAAAAGCATTAAAATACATGGGAAAATATAGAAAAAATCACATTACCTTCATATCTGCAATGATCTGCTGGAAAAGCCCTCCCAACGCGCTGCATTCCCTTTCGATGTTTGGTTCCATATTGATCTCGTCTGTGGCAACTGGCTCCAAAATGTTGTCAATGGTTCTATTATTTATGCGAGCTCTGAAGGATCTGTATTGATCATTTGGACAGCAACAACAGGCTTCATTGCTGCATCGAATTCAACACTGGACACATTCTGGTTCCCATTACTTTCAGTAGGCAGCAACAACAAAACACAACTGCGAGATGCAATCACTTGTGTTTTTGGTACATTTAACGCACACCGAAGCTCAGAAAAGCACTGATTATGTGAGCACAGAACCAGGACGATAAGAACGACTCGATTAACTGAAAACCGCGATCCTAACGCACGCCAGAACGGAACAAGGATGAAGAGCGCCGACCTACACTCGGGACGCAGCGACGTCCACGCGCAGAACACCTCCTATCCACACCCGACCAGCTCCTTCTATCTTCTGCTCAGGCTGCCCCGGCACCAACCAATCATTATTTCTCGCTAGTCGCACGTCGACTGCACACGTCTAAACGCTATCTCTTGTCGGAAAATCTAACTACATATTAGAGACACTCCGAACCAGGCCATTCTGCAGTAACTCTACCTTGTGGGCAAAAAAAGAACTAAAAGAGTTCAATGATGGCGGAAGTTCGAACTAAATTATATCCATTTTATCGTGTATATTATAAGGCAAATTAATGTTTGGCTGGCAAATAAACTAATATAAATGGTAAGTCAATAAATTACATTTGCAATCCATTGATCCCATTAATTAACAAAAATTCAATAGAACATTTTTTCAACTAATCCCAGATTTTAAATCGTATAAAGAGGAAAAACTAGATTAAATGTGAAGTTGAACTAGTGTCTGTAACATTCATATTATAACGAAGACCGTTTTAACTGATCATTTTTGTGAAAATTATTATAGTCCTACACATGTACAAGCAACACGTTTTTGAAACTGAAATTTAAAGTCCTCATCAGGTGATCACAAAAGTTTTAATTACCAATTCTTATTCTATGATTAATAAAATACCATAATTATTTTATCTCGTACAAAAATAACAAAGATTAGGATGTTATGAGAATTCTGTATATTCTAAATTACCAGAAATTTTTAATATCCAAAATCTTTCAATGTCTGACCCAATTAGGAATAAAATATTCTCTAAATAATTGAATTTGACATAAACATTAACCAATGTCCTCTTACAACTTTTCATCATTCATTTATCATTAATTTATTTGTAAAATATCATTACTGCAACAACTGTATAATATTGTGATAATTTTCAAATGCAGTTTTTGGTATTTGTGACAATTTTAATTTATTAAATCAGTGTTCATGTTTCAGTTGTAATTTTGCAAACTTTTTCAAAGCTACATCGTTCAAAGAACACAAAAGCAATAACTTCATAATTAAAAATAGCTGTCATCACACAAGAATTGTGTGTATATAAAGTTATTTCTGTAATACTGGAGATTGTTCTGATGTATGCTCAGCATCCATGAAATTCAAAGTTTCAGTTTCTAGTCTTACATTGTAAATTTGAATTCCTCAAAAATGAGTATTTAATTATTAATGCACCTTTTGTTTCCAGCAATTTTGAAAGGAAATCCATTTGTTTTGGTGAACTTCACCTGTGACTCGTATATTTATCACCATTTCTCTTTCCTTTTTTCCTAAAGATAAATATGATGACTAGTAATATTGTGAGAAAAGGTAGCATTGTCATTAAAACGTTTGCATTTCTAAAAATTAAAATTCAATTGTTTTTCCATTCCATCTGCAGGTCCAATTTAAAATGTGTACTAGTTGATTGACTAACTTTCAAAATGCAGAGGCTTTAATTAATGTCTACTGTACATTTTTGAATTTTTAATAGTTCTGCGAAGAGGGTAAACTAAAATGCTATGAACTTTGAAAAAGGAATTCTAGAATTAAATTTTCTCACAAATGAGTCAACATTTTCTAAACTGTTTTCTTCTTAAACTAATTAAGCAGAAGACATGTCAAAGTTGAAATTTGATTCACATCTCAGGCTCTATTAAAGTTGAAAACATCTTAATACTTTGAAGATATTTTGTGTAAATACAATTATCTCGCAGAAAAAATCTACATCAGTTTGGTATCCCATACTTTCTAAATATTGGATTCTACAAAATTTTCTCAAGAATATGTTAGCTTTGGAAAAAAATTTCTCAATAATGATTTCATTGACAGGAATTATTAAAAATGGATCTGTGAGCATTGTTTGCCAAGACTAAGAAATTTGTGTTCATTATACAGATTACGCTTTTAAAAAAAAATTTAATGACATACACCTAATAGCAAAGTATACACTTAATAGTCCAAAAATATATTTGTTTTTATGTATGGAGGATTCCACAACTGTGGCAACAAGAGAGGTGGGATTAATAAAAAAAAAAGTTTTTCTGATTAAATTTGAAATGATATGGAATTTGACTGATGTTACTTTTTTTCACTAAAGAAGTGTGTGTATGTAGAGAAAAGGGAACATAGAAAAATAAGAAGAAAAAGGAGCCAATTAGAATTTGACATTGCCAATGAAAACAGTTACATATGTGATAATAGTCACTACTATGTTAGAATACAAATTTCTTTGATGAAAGCATCACTGTAACAGAAAAGTGAAACTCTCTTCATAAAAATTATTTAAGTGAATTCAAAATTATAATAATAGAATTTTAAGCACATAATGTGCCAGAAATTCCAGAATTATATGTAAATGAGTTCGGAAATAGTTGGAAGAGTAAGTGTTATGTTCAAACATAACAAACTGTATCTATTACATTATTATTTAATAATAATAAAATCTTTAAAAAAGCACAAGATAAGAAGAATTTGAAAAGCTAAACATTTTTGCTCTTCAGTTATTGAAAAGGTATTTGAATTGGTAAACAAATTTCGGATTTAATTTTTTTTGGAATAGTAGCAAAATAGTATCACACCCCTGACTCTTCTCCTACCCTACTAGCAAAAGGAGAACTCAAGAAAACGTGTGTATAGTGAAACTACGTTTAGCTCTTTAGCTACATTAGCTCTTTCATACGGCACCTTAATCTGCTTCAATTCTCATCAGTGACTTTTGATGGTCTGAATAAAACCATTAATGGACAATTCTCCAGAACACTTTTCAGGCAGCATTTGTAGCACACACAGACTAAACATATTGGGAAGCTCAAGTTTTGTCAAAAAAAAAGATGAGTTAAAAAGGTACTTGACATTATACAAGGTTATTAGAAAATTTCAAGTTGTAGTTCTTTTTATATTGATCATGATTTTCCATTTCTGTCCCGAACATAAAAACATCACACAAACAATCCCCGTGAATGTAACTTCATGTTCATTCATCATAGCAACATCTACTCTTGCCTTAAAGTAGAGAGCAATGCTTTCTGGTTCATCATGTGTAAATGAATGTCCATAAGAATCAAATTTCTTGCCACCTCCCAACACTACCATTAGTAATTGTAGGATGTTAGTACATATTTTCCTCGCATCTTACGGGGGGCGTCCCACTTTCAAGAAGGCATAGCTCCATTTGTTTGTTGTTTCTCTTCTGTTGGTTGCAAGGTATGAAAATTACATTATATTATTTCCTTCAAAATTTATTTTACCTTAACTGCATCAACATAGAATATGTTTTTAGTTAGTACTTAACATGTCATTGTAGTCTTATGTTATTTGTATTATGTTGCTGCTTTTTTATAGCCCCGATGAAAGAAATATATTTTCCGAAATGTTGGCAAATAACCATATAGTCATTTTACGTTCCACTGACCAAGCCTCATAAACCAGACTTCATCCATAAGAATCAAGTTGATCTGCAAATCAGACACAAACAAAATCATTGACACTATCATCAAAATTGAGGATATTACCAATAGAAACCACCAGTTGGTATAAGAGTGGTCGGTAGAGCTACACTGCTCTACTGAGAGACCTTAACCTACCAAGGTACAGGGTCTACGCCACAAGTTTTGGCTTACTTAACTTATCCCTTCCCTTGCCCCTTCTCAATCTTTTATAATACGAGTATGTGAGAATTATTTTGGCCTTAATACCCTTTCAGTACTTTCATATACCCTTTATAGATCTTATTTTTCTTAAAGCTTAAACAAATACAATTGTTTTCATATATTAAAGTTGTCTACTCTTCCTTTCCACCACACAGATGTTTTAGTGTACCTAAAAGGAGCAGTTGCTAATTGATACCTTTGTTATATAATTGAATTGGTATCGAATCACTTGGTGTTTTTGGATTATAAGATATAAATTCAACAATTGATTGTCTAGTGGCAACAAACAATAGCACTTTAATCACTATCAAATATCACTTCTTGTGCACAATTAAAACATTAGCAGAAAATTTCTAAGTTTTTAAAATGTTTAATTACATCATTCATGCAATTTCAATACTTACTTGAAGATAACCAGAGTTGGATTCCAAGATCAGTCTTTTTGTTTGAAAGAGATGTTTGAAAAAAGTAGAGAAATAACATAGTAAAGAATATTTCCCCTCAACAATGAAGATTTTGTAATTATAGCCACAAAAGTATTGACAATATAAAAACTAAGGAAATTCTTCAGATTGGAAGAATAAAAAAACACATCCTCCCTCACACACTTCATTCCCTTCAACAAGAATTTCAGTAATATTTTCTATGTATCAAAATTACTGAAGGGCTTGACAGCAAAGATTTTTTCATTCCAAAATAGAACTTTTGTTTTACATTCATTGCAATGAATTTCTGAACATGTAAGTAATGGTGCAGGGAGAAACAGTTCATTAAACCAGCATACAACAACTCTTAAATTTTTTTGTGCATATTACATTAAAGAGTAACTTTTAATGATAGGACAAAAGTAGGAAAGCATCAGGAGTTTGTTGAACACACATCTTACCACGCATGAACAATGAATGGTTTAAAGCATCCTGTATTTAACAAATTATTGAGGAACAAATACCTAACATCTCATATCACAAACAAATTTCAGAATGCGAAAGGTAAAAGCGCAAATTTTGACATAAAGCTTGTAGGTACAGTTGGTAGTCAGTTGACATTTCTACAGGGAGTTCAACGACTACATTTATTATGTTACAATTGCTAAAAGTACTGAAGAATTTCACAGTACCAAATTCTCTAGTAACAGACAATGTAGGAAAACAGTCTCACATTCTTCCACATAAACTCAAGGAGTGTCTATGTAAACAATCACCTTTTACTATAAAACAAATATTCTTATATTTTTATAATATTAAACACAAATACTGAAATTTACAGGGCAAACTGATCAAATGCAAAATTCAAATGTTTATGTAAGTACAAAAAACTGTTGAAATTCAAACAGCATGCCAACAATTTAAATAAACCACTGGTTCATTACATAGATATGTAAACTGCATGCAATGTACATTCATATTTTGAGAATTATACATGTTCAAATTAAAATGACACTTGGCAGACATTAAGATCACTGTCATGTTTAGATAACTTGCAAGCTACACCTCATTAAATGAGTTGTCAGAATGAATTTCTCATTACTACAATCACATTAAAATAGTGTGGCAATTTTATGTCTGACATACCACAATATCTCTCCTTTTCTCTCTCTCTCATTTATATACACAATATTTCCTCAACTATGTCAATATTGAATTACAAATGTGAACTGCTCTGCATGTTATTTTTGAAGTAAAAAGTATTTAAAATTGTATACACATATATATTTTAACAATTTTCAAATACAATTGTCAAAAAAGTAACATCTGCATTTACAATTGTGAAGTATGGCTATGTCCAAAAACAGAGAAACTAGAAGATGAAGAGAAATAATTTAATGCCATTCTGACCAATGCCAGAATTTCGAAAAACAAATATATGTATCATGCCATCCATTTACACACAGAGGAAAATACTAATACAAAGTTCAAGTGGCACACTATTAGAAATATTGAATAAAACAAAGAAATGAGAAATTTGTAAGAAATACACTGAAATATTTCGAGTGATTCTGATTCATAATATCACAGCTATTATCAACTTCAAGCTGAAAAGTCCAAGCAAGAAAGTCACATTTCATTCGTAGCAATGTATGACGTCATGATGGTTTCAAACTTGCCATTACCATGTAGTGAGATTCCTCGTGGGAAACCGGTGGGGGAGTAGGAGGAAGGATGGGTGCACCCCGAGGAGACATGGGCACATAGTCTGGCTCAGGCTCCGGGGGCAGCGGGCCCCTCGCAGACCACTTGCTCCACGGAATTGGCGGCAGAGGAGAAGAGGCCAAGGAGGAGCACGAGGCTGAGTAACCGGGAAACGATCCTTGTCGTAACGCACTCAGCGATGGAAACCGGCTGGTCGGAGGACTTTTGCTCTTCTCGTCCAGCGCCTCTTCACTCATGCTGGAAGAAAAGTGATTTTATCTTTAGTACTAAACTCCCATTTTTCAATGGCAATAGAATTGTTAAGAAAAGTTTTTACTGACAAAACTATAACAATATTCATAATTAAAATATTTATGTGGCTCATTATCAAAAAGCTATTGAAATAAAAGCAATGATACAATTATGACTTGACAAGAAAAAATTCAAAGGGATGTTCTAAGAAAAAACAAAAGAAGCACAACGCCAAAAAATTATGTTTCCACAAGAAATACTTTTCAAATGATTATCAAAAGGTAATTACACAAGGGACATTTCCAAGATCAATTCCTGACTCGTGAAGCGAAGAGGTGTATAACCAAGATAAATTTTTTTGTCAAGCAAGGAATAGAGTAATCATCACATCCTAGGAGGTAATAATCAATAACTGATTATTTTCCATGGGGAAATCTCTGATGGGTAGTTAGGGTCCCACTTCTAACATGCTGTTGGCTGAAATTTCGATCGCAATAGACTGTCTAACTGTCAACTAACTTATAAAGCTTTTCTTCAGGAGATTCATAATTTGGAAAGACACTGAGCATCACCTCTTTGACAACCAAACTTTTCTTACCTGCATTTAGCTTGAGTATGGAATTTATGCTTCCTTGGAGGAAGCGGAGGAGGAGGGGAATTATCTTCTAATGATTTTCTCCATCCTAAGGAGGCTGGATTTTCGTAATGATTCTGTGTCTGCCCATCTGTCATGACAGGGAAAACATCATCCATTATTTCCTCATAAATTCCCGATGCAAGAGAGATACCCGATTCTCTTCGAGGTGAATAGGTATTAGACACAGAATTAGTTCTAAAGAGAGCAGCCACTTGTTCAATGTCTTCGTCACTTTCACAACTTCCGATGTGTTGATATTCATGAAGAGATTCATTGTCTGCCTCACTGCAACCTGGGGTTGAAAACAGCAATCCTAGACCAGCAGATATAAGACTATTGGCCACCTGCAAACATAAAAAATATTTTGTTCTTACACAAACACACTAAGAAACTGAAAATTACTTAACTTTGGATCACTAAAGATCACTAGTTTCAAATTATAAAATCAAATCAAGATTTTCATATTGACTATTGAACTGTATAATCATGAAAGTGTTTTAAAATCCTCTTTCACATGTAAAAAAGTTTAAGGAAGTAAAAGTTTGATTTCATCAGATATCCTAATCCATATAAATGGTATAATTTATTTTTATACAGAAGTCATTTTAAAATGGAAACAGGCAGTACATGCCTTCTTTTAAAAAGAGAAAAATAGTCTTTCTCATCTCCCAGCAAAAAGGACTCAAATGCTCATAATGACTTAATTTTATTCATTACCAGTTAGTAATGAGTTCATTTATCATCATTGTAATATCAGCAGGTGGTAACAAAACTAATAGTTATCAATGTATATCAATAATAAATATTCTTCAGGATCTCAATAAAGTACTATGTTACATGATAGACAATACAATATAATACAATAAACAGCATTTAAAGATTTGAAAATATTGTACATGTAATATTGTACATTGTACATGTATCTTCTAAACCTGATTCATGTACTCAAAATCTTCCTGTAAATCAATATTAAAAAAAAATCATGAATTCCAGTAATGAATTGAAAAAGATACAATAATCTACTTATGGTCCAGAAAATCCCATACCAAAAATACATTTTCTTGAAATCTACTGCTTTATTACAAGAAACTTCCATTGTTTATCAATGATTTGCACTTACACAGCAGTACTATTAATACTAATTACATTAATTAAAAAAAGTCAGAGAATTTAAAAAATAGTCTATTAAATTTATAATAAATAAAAATAAAACAACAATCAAATTTTATCCTTGGAAGAAGAGAGAAATAAAAATTGTAATGCACTCGGTAATCTCTTTAGAGTTGATTCTTACAAATTTGCACAAAATATTACTTACTTTGCCTTGAATATCATGGCCTGAGTCATCCGAGGCTGTGGATACTCTAACTCCTGAATCACGGGATCCACTATGTGATCGAATCAATGCAGGATGACGCAAGAACTTGCTAGGACTTCCTACTGTCGCTTCAGCAACACTGCAATAGCATCTTAGATCACTTTCACTGCGACTCAAGCGACGCGAGTTTTGTAGAGAGACTGGTTGCGGAAGGAGTTGTTTAATCTGTCCCCTACGTAATAGGCAATCCAGAAGCTGAGGTGCTTGTAAACAAAATATGTACATTTGACCAGGGCCAGCTGGAAATTCACTGAAAAGAGATGCACAAAAAATTATAATCATGTACATTATTCCTATAGAAATTGAGATATATTACTCTGGAAAATTTGATGATATTTAGGTCAAGGGAGTTAACTTTTTGTGAAAGTGGAGTTTTGTTGTTCAGGGAGTTACACATGACAAAATCTATAATGTACATTTAAAGTCTACAATCACAAAGGAGAGACTTATTATTTTTCAAATATTCTCTGCTTTACATTAACCACACAAAATTTTTTATTTTCATCTTTTTTGAATCTCACTTTTATGACTTAAACCCTTTCTTAGCATTGAATTAATCAAGCACAAATGCATCAACAAAAGTAATTTTGGGTTTCTGACCCTACCATACCTGCTGGTATGTATCACACATATCTTGTTTTCATCTTCTGGTTTGCCAGTGGCTGCCAAATGAAACTGATGAAAGTGAGACCAGTCCCAAGAGGCCACAGCTTCCTCTGAGCCGTTTCTACTCAAACTTATATGACATGCTCCTACTGTCATTACACCATAAAAACCACTCAGTCCAGCTGATTGCGTGAGAGTATTATCAATCAAGGACACTGAAAACGTGCCTTCTCCTGAAATATGAAGAGATAATATAAGAATTTAATTAAAAATTAAGAAGTTGGCATTTTTAGCATCCTAAATATTTAAGCTTCAAAATTCAACTTACCATGCTGGGCATATATATCTGTAAAAGAAAATAAAGCACTGAGTAAGTTGCATTTTCTACAAACACACTTATTTTGTATTACAAACATTAAAATTTCACAATTATTAAATTTAGACTTAAATAATACAGCACTATTTGTCTCTTACAATTTCTTAAAATTCTTTCAGAGGAAGCATATCAGCAAGATTCTTTTCCGCTTTCTAATCACATACAAATTTTACTAAGAAATACGTTAATTTCTTTCAATAAGGAATATTAGTAGGTACATATAATTTTAAAACAACTTTTAAAATTGACTTTGATAAGCAATAAGGGGAAAATCTCGAGTTTTCCACACAATTTGATTTGAAAATTTGGCTGAAGTCTACTATACAGTACAACAGAAGGAAGTCGTTTAAACCGGCAGTTCCCGCTGCTCCAAAAGGGGGAAATCCATGGTGGACGGGATGAGGGGTTTTTAGGGAATTATGAAAGGAACCTTTCGATGAGGAGGGCTGGTGAGCAATATGCCTAACTTAAAACATACATATAAAAAGCTAAGCAACCTTTAAGTTTGTTTAATTGCCAGTGCAAAACCTTATTCTCCTTTTAATTCAGACATGAAAATAATTTGCTCAGATCATTTAGAATCTCAAACACTTACCAAAAGGCTGTTTAGGATGAAGTAAATTGCGTATATGAGCCATCCATTTTTGAGTCTCTGTTTCAGAGTTTCCGGCAAGAAAAATAAGAGGCCTACGGGTCTGCCCAACATTGGTATAGACACCAAAAGCAAACTGACGTGATCTGCAGAATATCACATAGTAAGAACATGAGTGATTTTATGAGATATTTAACAGTAATGAAAATTGCTTAGCAAGTCTCACCGAGAGCTGGAGTGACAGAAGGTAGAATCAGATGAAATGTGAATAGTATTTGATGAGTTACTTCCTATTTGAATGCATACCCCTGAGTTTTCAGATGGAAGAACTACACACCACTGTTTCTTCCATGCCTGAACACAGGAAACAAAAGCAATATTATTTCTGAGAATCAACTGAAAAATGCAACATTCAATATACCCTCGAGCACCACAACAAATTACCCGTATATCTTACATAAAATAATACAGTATTCCTAAATATTATAAACTTGAGATACAAAATGTATTGCAAACAAAATATCACAAGAAAATAATAATGCAAAAAGAAGTATATGTCTCACCTTCCATGGAGTGAATCCTCTCTTCCGAACTTTAGCTGGCACTTTTACATCTAAATAACCACTCAGATCACTTGACATCTTGCTTAATTCGAGGGAATATAACTAATAGCAGATGTAATCAAAGATCCCTGTAAAAATGAAAGCAATTCTAAGTTAATTGTATTTCGCACATAACATTTTTAATTTCCATATTGAACCAGAAAATAAATACCAACTTAAACAAGAATCAAAATAAATTATTAAAATCCTCAAACTTAAAAATACATATTACTGTTAATTGATTACTTTATGGGACTCCACTTCAAAGTCTGATAATTTATTTCTTTGTTATTCCCTTCATATGCAAGGACAATAGACTTCCGAGCTGCTGTTCCAAGTCTACCCAATGCTGCTAAGTCTACAGGACGTATCGGAGCATTTTTGTCAATGCAGATGACTACAAAGTATGCATGAAATTGAAAAGGATCTCCAGGATATACTAAAAAATCTCCACCATATTTCATTCCACTTGTAAGAAAATAACCTTTCTGCCAAAAGTGTCTGAATACATTATAACGTAGTAGCTCAGTAGGAGATGATGGGAAATTCCATTTCACATCAGATAATTCCTCATTTTTCAACCATGGATGTGCAGTAAATATTTGAACACAAATGGCGCTTTTAGGAGGAGGTTTAACTTTACTTAATTCTTCTTCAAGCACTTTATTTCTATCAATTGTTACAGTTGTTTCCGTAGGGATGGAAATTTGCTCGTCACATTTTCCCTTACTTTTTCCTTTCTTCTTTTTTGTTTTCAACCCCATTAATTTTCTTTGCTTGCCGGCCACAATATTATCTAAATTTCCAGTTATCTGCCGTTTTCTTTCTTCCATTAAACACTCAATTTGCTCGTCACAAATTTTCTCACAATATTTATCATACTCTGCTTTTACATCACTACTTGGAGATTTCAATAGAGACGCATGATTTATCAGTCGGGCAACATTATTTTCACGAAGTAATGTCGCTTCTTCAGGAAGCAAGGCCAAAGGAAGGCCTTTAAAATGATCTTGATAAGGTGTCTGTGCTAAACAACCTACCAAACTTCCCACTATTCTATGTTCTTCTCTCAATTTCAGCCAATCTTCTGCGTTAAATATCAGGGGTATTCCTTCTTCGGTAACTATTATTTCAATCATATTAACACCCAGCAAATAGCATTAACTAGATATTCATTACGTCTTTGTGAACTGCACAATTCAAATAATACTACAATTGTATTTGGCAGGTTCCACGTGACAAACGAATACGGGCGGGTCACGCAGCACATCGCACACCACGAGGTAAAACTGAAGCATAAGCGCAATACGTTTCGCAGCTGGTACTGCTACCTTTTCATTGCTTGTCAAAGAGAATGCAAAAATCTATATAGGCGGCTTGTGGTGAGCACTGCGCACGCGCACCATTTGCTTCCTTTAAAGTTTGCGATTCGACCACTAGGCGCGCCTTTATCAAAGTGATGCGTTGAACTTGAAGTACAGTGAGTACGATGGGTTTCGTTGGATTAATTAAGTACATGTCTACAAGGAACAAAAGAGTTTATCGTTTTGTTTGCAGTTCAGAATTTGGTAGTGTGATTCACATTAAGGGATGCATCAGAACATTAAATTTTCATATCTAGTGCTTCAAGAACGGGTTGAAAATCGATACCAAAACCACTGTCGACACGACTTATTTTTCCACATGGCGGGTGGTATGATTTCTAGTATTCACAAATTCTGTATTATATGCGCACGTTCTCTTGAGCTCCGGAATTCAGACCCCCTTTCATTTAAGAATATTAGTTGAATTAAGCAATATATACTCTTTGAAAAATAGAGCAGTTGAGTATCGCAAAGAACAAATATCTGATGTCTATAAATGTTCGCTCTAGTGTAATAAAAACTATTATCCTTCGAAAACATGCTTTATATTTAAAATAATGTTATTGCCACCAAAATAACTAAACCTCCACTTTTCCTCCATCTAGCAAAATGAGAGCCTCACGAAAACGTGCGTGGATAATACTATAAATCAACAATGATATGTTGACTTTAAAACATATTTTACTCAGGGTGTAGCCAACATTTCGCATAATTAATTCATTTTATTATATACATCATGACTGAAATAATTTGAAATTTTAATTATTTAAAATATTAATTGTTTGAAATTTTAATTGTTTTAAATTTTATTATCATAATCATCACGATGGAAAATTACTATTTATGATAAGAGAGGTAAAAGTGGTATTTTATTTTGCGAGTACGAAAAACTGCGACCGGAGGTCGACTGGCGCAATCCTACGATCAAAATAAAATTACTTTTACTGCATGTGTCATACACTATTTTTTAAATACAATTTTAGACATTAATTTCATTTTAATTTAAGTACACAAATGATACATTAAGGACAGTAGACGCTGATGCGATACCATGAAAGTTTGCCTGTAAATCGTCTCACTTTTAGCACTTGTGCTAGAAATCGAAGTTTTGGGATATTCCATAAATCCTAAAAGTAAGTTTTTAGTAGGGGCCGTCTAAACATATATTTTGATTATTAAACAATTATTTAAATTTTTGTTTAATATATTTTTTTTTAAAGCTCACTTGTTTCACACAATATTTTATCGGACAGAATTCGGCTCAACTTGTAATTAAAAATTCTTTCAAAGATAACTTCATGACTGAAAGGAGGGGAAAAGTAAATAGCAAAGGAGGGCGATTTTCCATTTACGAATACCACATACAATGTAGTATGTTTATCATATTGCTATGACCGTGGTATACATTAAACAATAATTTAAAACAAAGTAGATGAGAAAAGTAAATCACTTAGGACATGAATGCGGGAAAAGTGACAATAAGACCGAATAGTTCGTTCTAATAACAGCCATTATTTAAATAGCTAAGTTTAGGATCTACACAGTGAATTAATACGTTCACTGTCCAAGGAATCATATGAGATACACATGAAGTATTTTACTAAGAGCTGGCATCATAAACGATTCTTTATCATATTTTTGTAAATAGGACATGTGTCTTCCGATTTCAATATTGAGTGAACTCGTTCTAAAGAACATGAAACATTCGTTGTCTTACAAAACGATTTGTTATTTTAGGCATGTCCCGTCATTATTATTGCAGTTTATTGACCGAGCTTCTGAGGATCTCCATATATTGTATATCTGGTCAATGAACGTATTAACAAATAGTTGTCATCTGATTTACCTTAACGCGCGAATAAACAGGGAGTTACGTCACACACGACCAAATGGCACTCCACATATCCAGAACCACTGTTTCACTAACCCACTCACTTTCCGGAGAACCCCACACACCACACACACTCGTCACTCTCGACCGAATCGGAGGTCGAAACAAGCAAAAACGTGTCCGCCGTCGCCACTGCAACAGCAGCTTCCGCACGCGTGCCGCACGCGCCTTCTCTGCCGGCACTGACGCCGACGAGTGGCCGCGCCGCACCGCGCCGCGTCGGGCGCCACCGCCGC